TCTTGCTCGAGTTAAATAGGATTTTCAGCTGGATTTTTAAGTGGAATTTAATGGAATAAGCGCTGAATTATAAATATAGGATAGACAACGTAAAAATATGAAAACTATACACATTGTACTATACTTTTTATTAATTTATATTTAGGATAGAATATTACATTACACTATGACGCGTGGTATTCGTTAAAACAGTCTAAACACGTTTGTCGTGATTTTGGACAATTGGAACAGTAGGTCGTAGTGTTTTTACACTTTTCGTAATTGTCTGTCAATATGTTTGTAACTGGTAAAACTTTACCAAGTCTGCTACTCTGTTTTATCCTTTCGTTATTTGCAAAATGCAAGTTTGCTGATAGTAATTCAAAACGATTACAGGTAATGGAAAATTGTAAATAGGGTCTATTGAGCAACATGTAACGAACGGTGTCTGTACTAGACCCACCCGAATCATGAGTCCGATAACGTTCTAGCGCTCAGACAGTAGGATTTGGGCCCCGCGAGAAACCCAATCGAATCTCGTTGGGCGACGAACGTGTTAACCCATTCGAAACGGCGAACACGGTTCTCAGGAGCGAAATTTTTATTCTTTATGTTCATTTTTAATAAAAAAAAAATTTGTTTACTATGGAAATCACCCAATTCGTAAGTGAATTCGCATAAATAAGATTGCACACCGTGTATGCATTTCGCTCCTCAGAAAATATTTATTGCGAGGAGTGGATTGAACACCATGTTTGCAATGTAAGGTAAAATAAAAATACATCATTAAAACTGATAAAAATTTATTTCAAAAATAGTTAGATAATATAACATTCTTATTTTGCTTTCAATGATGAAGAACAGAATATAATGCAAAGAAAATTTTATATAGTAAAAAGTCGAAAAATAAAGTTGAATAATGAAGAAAATATTATAAAGGAGAAATAAATTTTTAGAAAACGATACTATTGCTGTTGGTGATAAATTTGAAAAATGGAATTGGACATATGGGTTCTTTCTGCATTGATATTTTCTAAAAATGTAGATTTCGAAAATACAAACGAAATGTTTTTTTTTTTTTTTTGGTTCGCAACAAAACCAGTGCCAAATTTTGTTTTTCTATACTTTACAGATACTATTAATTCAAAAAAAGACTTATCTCGACGACTACTTTACTCAGAATAACTGATAAATGCTCATTATTATTATTATTATTATTGCACACACGGTGTGCAATCGGTCTCGAATGGGTTAAGGCACAGAATTCGGTCAGGACTGCAAATATATCGTACGCGCATTTACAACTGCTCACTCTCTAGACTGTTAGAGCAAGTAGAATAACGTCAAACGTTACGTACCTGACAGTGTTATAGTCGCACGCAGACCCGAATATCGTGTACATCATGCAAAAGTAAAAATTTATTTCGATTAGTCCAGTTCCCCGTTTCCACATTTTCGTAGGAACACTTTGGAATCCCTCGCTAACGCCGGCATCCGCCTCTGTTACAGTGCAACAGCTGCCAGAAGCCCCTGATCTATCCGCACCAGCGGCTGAACTTCTACTCGGACTACAGCCGCGTATTCGCGTGCCCGCATTGCCGAGCCGTGGACGCCCACTTCGTGAAACCGCTCTCAGTCTGCTTCACTCGCGAGCAGTTTCAGCTTTATAGCCAGTGGCCGTAACCATTAGGGAACTTAGCTAACCGGCGTCTAAGCACCGCGACTGACCCGTGTCCCCTCTTCTTCGACCCACTGATCTCCCTGCTCCGGGCGACCTTGCTCTAGATCCTCCGACACTCGTCGCATCGTTTTCGTTCTTTCTCGCGACCGATCACCATCGCTGGGAAGACGAACAACGAGGAAGCAGAGGAAGAAGAAGGAACGCGAAAACGAACGGAAGAGGGTAGCGAAAAGCGCGCGAAAAATCTCCGCCCTGACACTCCGCCTCGCCGCTCGGCCTCATCCATCCCGGGAAACACCAGTTTTGTTTTCTATACAGACGATCGACCATTTCTTTCTGTTTTTAGTTCATCCTTCTTCGAGCATCTCGTCCAGTCGCGTCTTCCGGTCATCGGGGTAGCAGCAGTCTATTACGTTGAACACCGCGTTTTTAGATCACGAGAGGAGGATCGACGAAGATCTATGGATGATTTTTCATGTTCGTGCTCCCCGATGTCGGAACCTGGTATCTGGCTTAGATGCTTGTGGTTATTAGCAAAGTCGACGAAGAAGCTTTTGTCCTGTCACACAGCGACCAAGGTCTCGGATCTTGCCGAAACGATCGATGATCCGGGATCGAGCGGCAGGCGGAAGTGTCTCGGGGTCCCGGCGAGCTCCCGTAGCAGCGATAACGTTTAAGGTTTTTCTTTTTCAATGTCGATAGTAGGGTTTATCTATGTTAATTCAACGCGAGGGACGATGAGCCGCGACGAGTCTATACGATCTAACGATCGACACGTGGCAATCGACGTATCTCGACGGCGTATCGATTGATTCGACGGAGCTTAAAAGGTCTTGGCACAGGAATTCGAGCTAAGAATCATCGTCAGTATTATCGGTAAGGATAAATTCCCCCCCCCCCCCACCCCCCCCCCCAGGACTCTGTCTGTGTAGAAACGATTTTTAAGTTAGCCAACGTTCGCGTTTAGGAATCCTCGTTTAGGCACGCGCAAATTTCTCTCTAATTTTTTCCCACGTCTGCTCGCGTCCCATTGGCAGAGGCGCGTGCGATTAGTCGAATTTAACCGCGAGTGGAAATTCGCAGAAGGGTTACAGGATCACAGGGGCGCGTAGGAGAAGGAAAATTCGTCGTTAGTTTAAGGGAATTCGAGCAATTAGGTTTAAATATGATCGGACAACGATACGTCGTCGATTTCCGTGCCCGCGCGAGGTCGTCCCCCCGCGTATCAATAGTCGAATTGCGTTAATCGGAGGGATGCTAAACGGCAAAACTGCAGAAAAGTATAAACGAGAAACGCAGAATGGTAAAAATAATAAAAAAAGGAAAAAAAAATGAAAAAAAAAAAAAATGGTCAAACTTCCCTGTATATTATATAGGTATGTATAAGGAATACGCGCAGAAAAAAATGAAAAAAAAGATAAAAAAAAAAATACGAAAAAAAGGAAAAAGAAGAAAAAGGTCACTTGGAACGAAAATAGGGGGGAAGAGATATGAAACTATCGTTTGTTACTTAGATAATCGAGAACGTTGTTTTTTTTACATTTTATTAGTTTATACGTTTATGGCGGCCATGTTGATTTTGTTTAAGGATCTACGACTCATTCGATGGGTTTCACGTTGATCGGCAGGGCGCCCAGCGATCCTCCGCCCTCGGGATCCTCTCATCCGCCATTTTCCCACCCCTTTTCGCCAATTCCCAGCACACACGCGACGTTCCACTGGTCCACTGCCAATAATGACAACGGGCCCCGTTTACTTTCCTCGATCCCCCCCCCTGACACATCGTTCCCACCAATTTTCTCCTTCCGTTTCGATTTCTCAGGAGGTACTCGCAGGGTGGTCGACGGCCACGGGCGCCCGAAGTAGCCAGTGTAAATACGTAATTAAGCGAGAAAGAGAGAGAGACGGAACCACGAGTTCTCCGAGAAGTTGGCGAACGAAAGCTGGAGCGAAAGATCGTGTCCGCGAGAGAGAGAGAGAGAGAGAGAGAGAGCGATGGCGAACGTGTCGGAATGGATGAAAAGCGAAAGAAAGTGTTGAGAGAGAGAGAGAGAGAGAGAGAGAGAGAGAGAGAGAGAGAGAGAGTGAGAGAGAGAGAGGAGAGGAAAAATAAAAGAAAATCGTTTTTCTGGCGATGCTGGTCGTTGCTGTCCATCAATAGCGGCCGTCCCACAAACAGAAGACCGCCCACCGTTTTCCCATGGTAGTATAGTCGATCGTGTACCTTCTTTACGTTACTTCGATTTAAAAATATACTTAATCCATTTGTACGCCGGGAAGTATATTTAGGAGATTTCTATAAAGTCCCGTAGAAGTTTTTAGCGAGGACCCCGTGAAAACCCCGTTGCCTCGGCGCCCCGACGCGAGCTCTTTTCTCGCCAGACGGCGCGAGGGTGTGTATCGAGATGCAAGGCGATAGCTGAGATAGAGAGAGGATGGTGGGTTGCTTCTCGTCTGTTACTCGCTTTCTCGTACCCTTCCCTCGCCCGTTCGCTTCACCGGGGAGAGAAGGTTCGTGGCAGCCCCGGCGACACGGGGTTCATCTGGCCGAGCACACTTGCGCGACGATTTAATCTACGAGAATATTAGCGAGAGAGGAGAGACAGAGGGGCGCGCTAGTCGCCGGTACGAATGGTAGAGCGTATGGGAAAAACCGAGAGAGAGAGAAAGAGAGAGAGAGAGAGAGAGAGAGAGAGAGAGGGTGAGAGACGCGTGGAGGGTTTAAAAAGTGAAAAAGTTAAAAAAGAAAAAAAAAAAGAGATAAAAATGCGAGAGGAGAATGAGATAGGAAGATTCGCATAGGGGGACGCGCACGAGTTCCCGGAGCGTATATGCGCGCGTGCGTGTGTGTGAGTGCGTGTTCGGGGTAGAAAGAGTTATATACGTTATGTCCGCGTGGAACCCTTCCTTTTTGGGTAGCCGAATACACGACGAGCCGAAGAGTGCGTTATCATCGTCGTCATCCGATTTTTGCCACGCGACGAAACCGCGTTTCTCCTTCAGTTCCTTCGTTTCCTTTTGTCGTCCTTACTTTTCGCGCGTCGCGGGAGAGCAGAAACGCACACAGACACAGAGAGACAAGAAAGAAGACGATGTCGGGAGAGAGAAGAAGGGAGGATCGTCTCTCGTTACGTTTTTCTCAGAGTGCCAAACAGAGGGAAGAAAGATAGAGGAGGGAGAAGCCGGGAGAGGGTGAAAGGGAAAAAGGAAAAATACGAAATGGGAAAAGGTAACTCGGAGTCTGTGAGTTCTTTCGATTTATATACTTGCTTTCCAACCGGTCATTCGGCCCAGCGGAACACGCGATTTTCTTAGCTTCCTCGCTTTTCATCCGGTCATATCAGAGAGCCAACACCGAAACCAACCCGCAATCGCGATTTTTCGCTGTAGGAATTAAGAACGTCGACAAAACCCTGTCGTTGGTTCCGTTTTCGCGATTCTCGACGTTTAACGAAGCAGATGGCGTACACGCGTGGCGCGTGACACGCGAGACGCGAAGAAAATCGGTTTCCTTCGCGGAGCGCGCCCACTTTTTGTACTCCCTACCGTTTTCAATTTTCGCTACGTGGTTCGCGTCGTTGAACGCTTATAGGTGCCGAACGCGCGCGACACGCATATCGGGACATCCGTCGGCTCACTTTCAGTTCCTATCGCGAGTCGATCGACGCAAGAACGAAGGAAAACGATCGCGTGGATAGAAAGAGAGAGAGAGAGAGAGAGAGAAAATTCGATCCACGATCGATGGATGCTCGCCGATTTTTCGCGCAGTCATCGCGACACGGAATTATCCTTCGTTGCAGATCCGGCCGCGCGAGCGCCGATCGATCGGAGATCGGAGATCGGTCCCGCGACCATTTTGCGAGAGGCACCTGATTCGATTTGTAAAAATGATTAGTCAGTTTCGACGCGTCGACGTACCTATATCTAGGATCGTTAAGGGGAAAACCGCACGGATGGGAGAGCGTGTGCCGAGGGATCTCACCCTTCGTAGATCCAGGCTTTTCACGGCCGGTACACGGAATACGGGGGGGTAGCGCGAGCGCGTTTAGTTTCTGTACGGTGCGTCGACGCATAATGACGCACTCGCTCTGTAGTTGCTTAAGGCTAAACGTTAAAGCTAGGCTAAAACCTTTTTTATTCTCCGAGTAAAAGTAAAAGCTGTAACGATTTTCTACTTTCCGCCGATTACGCGATGCCCGCGCTCTGCGCTCGGCGCGGAATCGCGTCCGCGAACGGACGCCGACCCTTGTCTCTGGGAGGAAACGACGCACGATCGCGACGCTCGCGTTCTCCTCGACGAAACTACACGCAATTTTTTCCCCCGTTGATGAATCTACCTCGATCCAAGTGACCCCGGGAGGAGAAGAATCTTCGATCGTGCGGAAAACTTCCCTCGCGGAAACCCTTTCCCGCGGCCAGCCGATGCAATAATTTTTCGAGGCTCGTGGAAAAATGGAACCGATCGCCTCCGAAGCGTGTTTTCCCACCGCGACCATTCATTCGGCTTCCTCCCCCGACGTCCGTTCGCGTCGCGACGCCGATCCGAGGCAGCGCGATCATTTTCTATGCGAGTGTCTTTATAAACGAGAGAAAAAACAGGGGGGATTTTCGACGACACGGGGCAACCAGCACACCCAACCCCCTGTCTGTGGACTCAAGGAATCTTGCGTTTCCCGGTGGACGCTATGAGAATCGAATTTTGCAGCGGAAAGAAGCGGAGGTGTGACGGTTGTCGCGTGTTCCCCGTGCCCCCCGAATCGCGTGGATCGTCGTAATCGTGTCCGTGGATTCTTCTAATGATAATTAATCGAATAGCACATCTATATGGCACGTTGAGGGGATGGGTATAAGGGTTGTACGTGGTTGGGTGGGATTGTACACGACAAAGCGGGGAGGGGGGTAGGGGAGGAAGAGGAGGAGGCAAATGCGGAGGAGAAATTTTTTGCGGGAGGTGTGTCCCGAAGACGGGGGTTAAAGCAGAGAGGTTATGAATGGTTGAACTATGAATAGAGTTTAGCATATAGTCATTATGGAGGGTATAGAGAGGCGGCGTAATGAAAAGAGAGGTTTTGAAATCATCGATAAATATGTAAGTTTATTGGAAAACGACGGTTTTCAGATTCTAGTTAAGGGAACTTCCTTCGTTTCGCCCGTCGGCCGGCCCGCCGGTCGGCGCCCAAAGAGATATCCTTGAATTTCGTTGAATATTTTAGAGACTCGGCTCTAACTCGGTTATCGCTCGACGCTCGGCGTCGCGGATTCCTCTCTTCCTTCGCCGAAGCGGCGCTGTCGTCGCGTCGGATTCTCGCTAAACTAGCCCCCCTAGGTCATCGAGCGGTGTTTCCTCGTCGAAATGGCCTGTTGCTCGTCGAGTAAAGACACAAAGGGGGACGAAGGGTGAAAGAATTTTCCGTTGAGTGGAAAGAAGGGGAAGAAAGAAGCGAGTGATAGAGAGGAGGAAGGAGGGTGGTGGAGGAGGAGGAATCGCGTCGTGGAGCGATCGAGAATCGTTCTAGTGATAGGCTATCGTGTCGTATTCGTGGAGGAATAGGTGACGAAGGGTGGCGAGGAAGAAATGAGATGGAAAAAAATTTTATCCTGCAATTTATATATCGGTTGTTCTTCGAGGCGTTCTTTTTCACGCGGACATTCACGCGGTTTGAAATAATCTAATAAGAAGATGAAGCGTATATATATATATACATATGCACATGTATGTATATATATATATTATATATATATGAAAATGAATATGAAATATTATATATGAATCTACGTTTAAGGATCGGTTTTTTGTCTCTTAGTGTTTAAGGTTCTCTTTACAGCTGTGCTAGACAACTACAAGTATACATAAACGACGACATATTATATATATAAATATATATATATACAT